AGAAATACATAGTCATTTATGAAGTCATTTTTGTAAGATTTGTTCCTCATTTGCAAAGTAATAGATATCTACAATTTAATTATAAACAGCAAAACTGCACAAAAATATGCAGTTAAGAGGGAATATTGCTGAGCCTTCTTTCCAACCCATTTCTTTCTTTTGAAGATTTTTTATTTGTATTTTTAACATTTATGAGTATTTCCCCTGTGTGTGTTTGTGCATATGGAGTTCAGAAGCAGACATCAGAGCCTCTGGGATAGGAGTTAGGACAGTTGTGAGCCGCCGTGCGGGTGCTGGGAATGGAACCTGGGTCCTCTGGAAGAGCAGCCAGTGCTCTTAACTGGTAGATCACCTCTCCAGCCCTGGTTTGCTTGTTTGTTTTTGAGACAGGGTCTCACAGACACAAACTCAGTGTGTAGCAGCAGATGATCTAGGACATGTGCTCCTTCTGTCTGGGTCTCCTGAATGCTGGATTAGAGGCAGAGGCCACCACGTCCTGCTTTAAACCAGCTCTTCTAGGAGACATAATTGCATCCCTTTGGAGCTTTCATCTTGCTTTTTGTTTTTGAAAGATTCATTTAATTTTGTTTCATGTGCATAGGCCTGAGTATGTTTGCATACAATAGGCATGCAGAGGTGGCGGCAGATCTTCTGGAACTAGAGTTAGACAGTAGCGAGAGCCATGTGGGTGCTAGGAACTGAACCTCGATCCTCTGCAACAATCCGAGCCATCTCTCCAGGCCCTGCCTTACTTTGCTTTATACTTTAGATATCATACTGTCGTTCAATTTGTACAGTCTAGGATTCCCTGCTGTGTCTTGATCGTAGACAGGAGTGGAGAGTGTACACTGAATATAATTTTGTGTTGCTTTGGCATACTTCACAGGGCACAAAGTACTAGAGTCTATGTCTTTGTGCATGCATATATACATACATGTACATGTGTGTGCACGTGCGCGCACACACACATGCACACATGTGTAAAGGAAGGTCAGACGTAAGTGTCAGGCCTCTTTTAACACTCTTCCCTTTATATTTTATAGTGTTTAAGCTTGTCATTACATCAACAGAACCACTAACCTTCATTTGTTGTTCTAAGACTCTGCGGCCAGACCCCACCCCCAACTTTTTCTTTTTCTGAGACTGGGGATAGGGCCTCTCTGTGTTGCCCTAGCTGGCCTGGAGCTCACTATATAGACCAGTTTGCTCTGGGCCTTACAGAGATCTGCCTGCTTCTGCCTTCTGAGTGCTGGGATTAAGGACTCTCTTATTTTTTGAGACAAGGTCTCTCATTGAACCTGACTGGCTAGGATGACTGACTACCAAGTCCCCAAGGTCCTCTTGTCTCTGCCTCCCAGTCCTGGGATCACAAGCATTGCTGCCACACCTGGCTTCTCACGTAAATGCTAAGGATCCAAACTCAAGTCCTCACGGTTGCATAGGAAGCCTTTAGCCTGATGATGGCCAGTATTCTGCTGGTTTTCCAGACCCAGTAATGATCACTGCCCAGATCACTAGATGGCCCTTATAAAATCCATGGTGGGATATTCTGGAAGGATGTAGAACTGATTCCATTGCAGAGGGTCTTTAGTGGGAGGCTCCTGCCAAGTCTCCTGAAACATGTAAGTCATAACTGTAACATCACAGCTACCCTGGCAGGCCCATTCTGCTCTTATAAAGACTCCATTACCTTTACTGTAGGCAAGCTATGTCACACGGCACACTCAGGGAACATGAAGAGATGTGGTGTGAAGGAACCGAGCCATCTGCAGTGCAACAGCTTGGAAGCTTTGTCTTCTGACTGAATCTGGTCATTTGCTACCCGTTCCCACATCCACCAGCATTTCTAAGCTACAGCTTTGTGACCCAACAATGGTACCCATCTGTGGGTTTCTTTAGCTGTCAGAGCTCAGTGCTGTTTTGCACAGACCTCACTATTAATAACATTGCGATCTTTGATTTCATGGAGGGGGCTCTCTGGGACTTATCCTGAAATTAGAGACGTCAGCGAGTTTCCAGATGTTTCTTGATTATTGGAAAACACTGACAGCTCTTTGGCTCAGAAGCATGTGTGTTATGAACAAGTGTCCTTCAGTCCACCAATCCAGCTGTTCTTTCTCTGCCATTTGGCATGGGGTATACCCAGGGTATTAAATGAGGTCTCTAATAGACTGTTAATGGCATTTAGCAACACAGGCTATGAGGAATAACCTCCTCAAATCATTTTATGATGTCAGAACACAGTTGTACCCTTCGTGCTTTCTATAAACTATCCCCCATGCTTTCCTTCATGATTCCTGGCACCTCTGATGTCGTATCTGTGGCCCCACAGAAGTTTTGTCGCTGCTGATGAAAACTCAGAGAAGAGCAGACACATGTACCCCAGGTTGGCCTCAAACTTACTGTGTGGCTGAGGACGACCTTGAACTTTGTGACCTTCCTGCCTCTGCTTCCCCAGGGATGAAAATGTAAGAATGTACAACCTGCCTGGCTTATTTATGTGTGCTAAGGATCAAACCCAGGACTTCAGGTGTGCTAGTCAAGCATCCACCACTGAGCTATATCCCCAGCCCTTAGCTGAACATTTTCAAGAGTATTCCCTAAAATTGGTTTACTTGGGGGTAGGGGTGGTTGGAGAGAGTTAGTAGGCTCAGCAGTTAAGACCACTTGTGGCTCATGCAACAGAACGCAGGTTTGGTTCCCGGAACCTGGGGACCAGATAGCTGCTAACCATAATTCCACTTCCAAGGAATCCAATACTGCCTTCTGACTTCTGAGAGCAGTCGTCACACATGTGGTACACAAACATACATGCAGCCAAAACATTAATACACAGAAAATAAAATAGATCTACAGACTTTTTTGGTTTGAGAACCTTTACCTGTGTATAGGTTGAAAAGCATTGCTTTGTTTTGTGTATTTCCATTTTTCCCATGCTTATTGAGCATTTGTACATTACTTGTGAGTTGTACATTTTTATTAATTTTCTTGGGGGGAGGTCTTAGAATTTCATTGATTTGCATGGGCTCTATGTCCTCACTACCTGATAGAGATTTTTGTATTACAATTGCTATAAATTTCGATATTGTTTGCTTTTTAGTGCTTGTCTTTTGATGCACATAAATTTTAAATTCCTAAATAGCACCAAACATATCATTCTCATTTTTTGTAATTTCCTGGTATATTTTTTGCATCAGAAGCTGTTCTCTATCTGAGTATCATGAAATTTGCCTTTCTCTTTTTAATGCCCTCATTGTTTTAAACTTAGCTCAAATCTCTCTGGAATGCATGCTGTATTTGGTATATACACACATATTTATATTGATGTTTTCTTAATAACTGACTGTTTCTAAATATTTTACCATAATCAGCCATACTGAACTCACAGAGGTACATCTGACTCTGCTTCTCAAGGGCTGGGATTAAAGGTGTGAGCCACCACCGCCTGGCATTCAGTCCTCTTTTTATTTGTAGCCTTCCTTCCCTTTTTTGTTATTAAGTGCTTATATATTATTAGATGGTCTGTTTGTTGATGTGTTGCAGCACTTTTCCTTGTGTTAGACTTAATTATTTTAGTTTGTAGGGGTTTTTTTGTTTTGTTTTTTTGTTTGTTTTGTTTTTGCAAGACAGGGTTTCTCTGTATTGTTTTGGAGGCTGTGGGACCAGCCCAGCCTCGAACTCACAGAGATCCGCCTGCCTCTGCCTCCTGAGTGCTGGGATTAAAGGCGTGCGCTACCACCGCCCGGCTAGTTTGTAGTTTTTATTAACTACCTGTTGGGCATTGAAAAAGCTTCTTTCAAATATGTATATGTTTCCCTTTCAAGCTCTTATTTTTTTTTTGACGAGGTGCTGAAGATTGAACACAAGGCTTTACACACAGTAAGAGTGTAAGCTCTCCCATCTACCCCTGAGCTTTAGTTTTTCCGCCATCTCTCCAGCTAGTGGATTGCTTTCTTGAAGAACATTCACATTAAGCACCTGAAAATAGACAGTGCTGGTACTGAATGTTTCAGAGTTCAGAAAGACCTTCTAAAGGATTTCCAGGATCCTCAGTCCTCAAGGAATTGAGGAGAGACACATGCTTGCAGAAGAAGCAAGGACAGTTGATTAGGAAAAGATACACTCCCAAGGAAGGAGGTGCTTAGGAAAAGATACACTCCCAAGGAAGGAGGTGATTAGGAAAAGATACACTCCCGAGGAAGGAGTTGCCCAGAGAGAAAGACATAAGATAAAATCCACTCTGCTACAAAGGATCGGGGCTTTGACGTCTCATAGTCACACATCATGCTTTATCCTAATTGGCCCCTTGGTGTAAATGCAGAGCCTCAGGCTTGTAAGATAAGTACTTTGCCAACTGAGCCGTTTCCCAAACTCCATGCTGTCTTTTCTATACATCATCAAGCTACTTGTATAGAAAGGGTGAGATGTGTAGATGTAGATCTGGACAGAACTGAGAAATATTCTCTCTGTAAATCTGGTCAAAACTATAAAGACACCATTTCCTTTTTACCAATGTCAGTCTCTTAGTTTTTGGTAGAGAGGTGAGCAGTGGACCTGAGTTTCCGTTTACAATAATGAAGAGTGGCTTCAATGATAAATGTCCCTATGTATATTACATTAAGTTTGCCCATCCCTGCAACTCTACAGGGCTCAAGCTGGACTCTACTCAACCAAGCTCCCTCTACAACCCAAGATAAGGAAGCAGATCCTCTCTGGTATATTCTAGCTTCATTGTGAGGCCTAGAACAGAATAGCCGTCACTCATGTGCACAGTGTATAGATGACTTAAGCTGGTAGGTCATTCCCTGGGCACCTGCTTCCCAGGTTTCATCATACAGTCAGGTTTAATTACTACACCATAAAAGGAACGGGGAACACAAGATCTTGCAAAATGTGTTCTGAATAACTTTAAACTTTATTAAATAAAAATTGCATAAACACAACTGTAAGATAATGAACATAAAAAGTAAATACAAGTTTATCACATGTAAATTGGATTATTGTATAATTAGCAATATCAATCCTAAATATGAAATCTCCACTTCTACAATGGGATATAGCAATATTACTCTAATGAATTAAGTAAAAAAATTTAACTTTAAATTGAATAAAACTTTTCAAATAATTCAGTATAGCCCTAGCAAAGCTGAGGTTTAGATTCAATGAGACTGGGATAAAAATGGATATTGACCATTACAGTTAATCAACTTCCAAAACAAAAAAAGGTCTCCTTAATTCAGGGAAAGAATGTGTCTTTAAATAACCACGATGCTTTTCTTAACAGTCCCAACAGGTAATCAGTAGCTTGGCCACAGTTCTACATCCTCAGCAAGTCCCATAGAGTATGATGAGTCATAAAAGCATCAGTCCGTGTAATTCACTTTCCTGTCTTGTACTATTTTCAAGCTTTAGAAATACATAACACACATACACACACACACACACACACACACACACACACACACAGCTTCAATTAAACAAATACAACTCCAGCGTTAGAGATGCTTGTCAACACTTCTTTCCTCTTCCTGCTGATGCCCCTCCTGGTCTTCTGCAGGGAATGACACTGTGACAGGCATTCTTTTCAAGAAGAAACAGTTCAAACAAGGAATAGAATTGATAATTACAGATTATTGAAAAATCACAACTGCCAAGGTTGGCAAACAAGTTAATGAAAACATAAACAGTCATTGGGGTGGGACAAGAAGATTCACAACTAAATTCATAAACTAAATCTAGCATTAAAACAATATTTTTGAAGATGTGTTCTTGTGTGGGTTGAACAGCAGTTTCTAAGCTTGTAGTAGTTACTTGCATCCTATAGATGGCATTGGGCAGGACTCCCCAAGTTAGGACTACATTGAAGAGTGAGCTTTATCTATGTCAGATAGCTCAGTATCTGTTTTAAATATTTTCAACCATCTTGCTTGAGGTATATAGAAACATTGATGGAAAAAGCGCAGGGTTGCCATAGCAACCAGGTGGATGTTGTTACAGTAAGTGACTATGCAGAATTTCCCACACCATCCTCTTCCTAAAGATGGGCATGTGTTGCTGAGAAAAGGTTACAGGCTGGTCTTTAGAAATGTAATCTGCATATTTACAAGTAAACATTCCACAGTCACTCCCATTCAGCTGTTGAGGAATCTCTTCTGATGTCACACTGTATTGCTTCCACTCAGAAGGGTCTAGCTCTATGTTCCTTCGAGTTTTGCTTTCGTTTTGTAAATATTGGAAGATGGTCTCACAAATATTCTGCCCTGTCTGTCCCATTGAATCGAAGTATACGATACTCTGCTTTCTTAGGTCGATTACTATCAGGCTCCAATGTACCTTCTGGTGAATAGGCACTAGAACAATTTCTTTTTCAAAAAGATTCATTCCTCGAGTCCATCTTTTAACAGAACTATAGCCGCCATGGTTTAGTTTGGGGTAAAAAAAAGTGCTAAACACGTGAAGAGCTGGGTAGCCTTGATTTTCATTTCTCTTAACCAGAAGATTCATATAAAAATTGATAATCTCATCATTGAGCCATTGACCATTCCCTAGTGTCTGGATATCTCCTCTAGTAATTTGCAATTTGAATGCTCTACTCAAGATTTCCTCTTGGGGCCCTGGACCTAGTGCGTTCTTGATTTCTTTTTCCATGTCCTCTGTAACATCAAGGACTTCCTCCATTCCTCTGCCCTTTTCCTGGTCTGCAACATGCATTTTCTTTGCTGTGAATTCTGGCATCTTGTTGGGGAGTAACCTACTGCCGCCACTATGCAGGGAAAATGGAGTCTGTGCTCCTAGTAAGTCAGGCTCCAAGTGGTGCCCCTTTCTTCCTTCAAGGTTTACTTCATCTTTCTTCTGCGTTTCAGAAGATTTCTCAGAACACGGCTTTTCTCTCTTGTCTGGTGAGAGACATTCTGTTGCAGCAGCAACAGTAGATTGTTTTGGATCACGCTGAGTTGTTCCGGATCCACGACTGTGCCCTTCCACACAACCTTTGACCCTCAAGGTATCCATATGGGTTGTGTGAGTGCTGTGTGGGTCAGAGTTCACATGATCACTGGGTTGAAAGACCTGCTGTAACTTTTGGTACTTTTTCCTTTGGTGGGGTTGATCATATTCTTCCATGACGCAATAGGGCCGCTTGCGACCCTTGCCACCATCAGCAGACTTTTTCCCAGTTACAACCTGCTCCTGTGGACCTTTGGCCCACTCTAGGGGCTTTAGTTGTCTTGAACTCTCTTCCCCACGTTCCTGTATCTGCTCTTTGCTTGGTTGTTCACTCAGAAGCTCTAGATCTCGCTGTTCCTGAGATACCCTCTTCTGAGCCTTTCTGGGCTCTTCAAACTCCAAATTCGTTCCACCTTCATCCTGGTATCTCGGTTTTTTGCCTTGTTCCAAAGCTTCAGGCACCATCTCCCTCCCCAACTCATCCTGGTTTTTCCTTTTCCGACCTTGTCCGGAAGCTTCAGGCTTCATCTCCATTCCACACCGTTCAGGTTTCCACATGGAATCACTGCTTGAATTGTCTTTGCTGGATGCGACTCTGATGTCCGGAGAATCACTTATTCAGTAAGTGTATAATCCGCAAGTTGGTTCAAGATCGGAAACCTATCAGGCCACAGGATGAAGAGCTCAGAATTGCTTTTCTTTATAAACAGAGTTGACTTTGGATGTCAGGGTAAGTCAGTCGGAGTATAAAGTCAATTGAGCTGGCAACGTCGGCAACCGATTGGTGAATAATCAAATGTTGGCAGTTCACCAGGGTCCACTGTGGGAAACCCCGTGGGGTTCTAGGACTTCTTCCTTAAAAGGGTCCCGCCACAGCACAGTAACCAGCTAAAGATTCAGAATTTCTAAATCGGACGGATTGTCCTAATCACCGTTAAGACACCAGGCCTTAACCACGCAGCTAACACAGCGGAGGCAAGCCTCACGAGTGATACCTGAGTCGGAGGTTGCCCTAGCCACAGTTTTCAAGGTTCCATAGCTGGTTGTGATGTAACCTGAAAGAACGTAAGTCAACGTTCTTTGGAGGGTGGCGGCCCTGCTCAGCCTCAAGTGGGTCCTGTAGTTGGAAGACGGTTGAAGGGTTGTGAACAAATCACACAACTCTCCAGAGCAAAGGGTTATCTAGATTGCCTCAGCATAACCTAGCTCATCTTGATTAGTACATTTGTCTTTTAGGAAATTGCCCATCATGGTCAAATAAAAAACAAAATATAATTACCCTTCAAAATGGCTTACTATTACAAAGAATAAATAGAAATTTGCAGTTATAAAACTAATAGCCAGCCGGGTGTTGGTGGCGCACGCCTTTAATCCCAGCACTCGGGAGGCAGAGGCAGGAGGATCTCTGTGAGTTCGAGGCCAGCCTGGTTCTACAGAGTTCCAGGACAGCCTCCAAAGCCACAGAGAAACCCTGTCTCGAAAAACCAAAAAAAAAAAAAAAAAAAAAAACTAATAGCCAGAACTTGGAAGCAAACTAGATGTCCCTCAACCGAAGAGTGGATAGAGAAAATGTGGTACATCTACACAATGGAGTACTATTCAGCAGAAAAAAATAATGGAATCATGAGATTCGCAGGCAAATGGATGACACTAGAAGAAACCATCCTGAGTGAGGTAACCCAGTCACAAAAAGAGAAACATGGCATGCACTCTCTCATATGTGGATTTTAGACATAGATCTGGGGAGTGCCAGCCTACAATCCTATGGCCAGAGAGTCTGGGAAACAGAAACTTCATTTAGTGGCTGATCGAAGAAGAGGCAGACTCCCTCGGTTAAGTACTGAGCTGAACTCAAGAAAGCCAGTAACAGAGAGGGAGGACTGATGATCAAAGGGATTAAGACTGGGCTGGTTTAACCCCCAGAAACAGCTGACCAGACAAAGGTTAACTCTTGAATCCCAGGCATCAGCCTGGGAATCCAGCATGGGACTGATCAAGACCCCCTGAATCTGGGTGTCAGTGAGGAGGCCTAGGGAATCTATTGAGCCTTGGGCAGCAGATCAGTACCCATCCCAAGTATACACACGGACTTTGGACTCCCATAGAACAATGTGAGGTGCACTCTCACCCTGAACTCTCGGGGAAGGGTCTAGGCCCTGCCCTATATGAAATGACAGACTATGGACACCCCCATGGAGGGCCTCACCCTCCCTGGGGGAATGAGGGGATAATGGGGGGGGCTGGGGGGAGGGCACGGGAGGAGGGGAGGGAAAGAGAGAGGGACCTGGAACTGACTTGTGAAGCAACCTTGTTTCTTATCTAAATTTAAACTGGAAAAAAAAAAAAGAATGTGAAAAAAAAAAAAACGAGTAGAGCTGGGCGTTGGTGGCGCACGCTTTTAATCCCAGCCCTCGGGAGGCAGAGGCAGGTGGATCTCTTGTAAGTTCCAGGCCAGCCTGGTCTACAGAGTGAATGCCAGGATAGGCTCCAAAGCTACACAGAGAAACCCTCTAGAAAACAAAACAAAAACAAAAACAAAAAATCTGAGTAGGTACTGTTGTGTGACAAAACTTTTCATGAGAAAATGAAAAACACACTGTCTACTCTCCAAAGATAGGGAATCCAGGACAGACACCACCGAAGCCCAACTTGGTGAACTAATGGGTTTTATAGGGGTTACTTACAGTAATGTGGGGAAGGGGCTACTTAAAGGAGCAGAAATGACTCAAACAAAGTCAGGTGCATCATCATAGCCCACCCTCAGCACAGGTGACAGCTCACAAAAGCTGGGAACCTAGAGACATTGCACAGCATGCAGGCATCTCAAGAGGCTGGAGAGGGTCCTTTCCAAGCTACTCAGTTGATGTAAACCTATTCCAAGCAGCTAACTGGTTTCTGCTTCTTCCAGGTAGCTGGTCCGAGGTCACTCTTCTGAGTCTTCCTGGCTGCTCAGCCTCCTTCCATCTGAGAGGGACTCTTGGCTTTTGTTGCTTACTCTGGTGGGAGGGGCCTAGTGAATCTGCTCAGTTTCAGGGACTTGAGCTCTTCCAGTTGTCTGCCTTCAGTTTAAGGAGCTTCCCATCAGGATGGAATGTTTCAATCTCGGAGGAAACTGTTGCACAACAGGTACCAGCTCACCAACCATCAGTAAGTTGCCATAAGAGAGTCAATAAAAATTCAGCATTATCAACAGGATTCATTGAGAAAAAGATACATCACTACCTTGTTGACAGTCCTAGCAATTACACAAGCCCTGAACCATCCCTAGAAAACAGTAGGAAGAATTAAGCTGGTGCTGGAGTTACAGATGTGTGGATTCCCAGTGGGTGCTGGATCTGAATGCCAGTTGTCATGATTACACAACAAGCACTTAGACTACTGATTATCTCTGACCCCTTGAGCAGCTCTTCCTTCTGCTTCCAAAAGTACAGAGTTTTTTTTTTTACAAAATTGTGAGCAAAGGAGTCATGACATATTGTTTGTTTACCACTGAAAATAAACACTTAGCAAACTGTGTAAGTATATTGATACCAGTGTTTTATTGTGAGGAAAACAGGGACTTTTTTTTTCTGTGAAGGGTTTGAATTTCTTATGATTGTTATTTCATTTTATTCTTACCAGGCTTCTTTCTCTTCTTTCTGATTACACTTCAGAGGAATTTGTTCTCAAACAGAGAAAAAGAGTTCAAATTCCCACATTGATCTTTATATCCCTGTATAACCTAATGACTGTGTTGCCTTTGTGATGGTGAACATTATGTTTAGAGAATAAATTTACTGTGCTAGGCTTGTAAAAACAGGTGTTTTTAGCTTTTGTAAGCCACGAGGAAGTTGTTCCTACCTTGAATGTACCCTGTCAGCTGGCCCAAGATGAGTCTTATCCTGGTGCAATCAGATGTAGTAAGCTTTCTTATTGGGACCATCAGCCCTTAACACAGAGACTTTTATTAATTATGAAAGCTTGGCCTTAGCTTGGGCTTTTTTCCTAACTAGTTCTTATAACTTAATTAACCTGTTTCTATTAATCTACATTCTATCAGTTACCTTTCCTTTGTCCCATATGTCTGACTTCTTCAGCTTTCTTTATCATATCACTTCCAGAAGTCCTGCCTATCCTCTCCCGCCTAGCTATTGGCCATTCAGATCTTTATTACACCAATCACAGCAATCCATCTTCACACAGTGTACAAATAGCCCACAACATTTCCCCCTCTTTATCTAAATAAAAAGGAAAAGTTTTAAAGCTATATACAATGAAAAAATATATCAGATAAGAATTACATTCATGAGCCGGGCGGTGGTGGCACATGCCTTTAATCCCAGCACTCGGGAGGCAGAAGCAGGCGGATCTCTGTGAGTTCGAGGCCAGCCTGGTCTACAAAGCTAGTTCCAGGACAGCCTCCAAAACAATACAGAGAAACCCTGTCTCGAAAAAAAAAAAAAGAAAGAAATTACATTCACAATTTTTAGTCCATTTGTATTTGGCAAATTTGGAGAAAGTACTGTACTATCTATCTTATCTTTGTGAGTCCAAAGTTTTATAGTTAACCCATTTTCTATCATAACTTGTATTACCATCCTAAAAATATCTTTTTATACCTTAAAACTTTTTTTTAGATAAACAACTTAAGCATTGACATATCTCAACCTTATAAACTTTACATCTCTTATGTACGTTTCTTTTCTGAATTGGTAACAAGGAAAAGTATAGTTGGTTGCTTTTTACTTTTTTTTTCTTTTTTACTCTTTTGGGGGATCCACCATCCAGCTCCCAAATAAATCACACTGAGAGACCTATTATTACTTATTAATGCCCATCCTTTTCTTGGCTGGTTTCTTGCCAGCTTTTCTTAAATTATCCAGATTACCTTTTGCCTCTGGGCTTTTTCTTTTTTCTACTTCTGTATATGTTACTTTCACTCTTACTCCGTAGCTAGCAGGGTGGCAGGGTGGCTGGTCCCTGCCATCCTCCTCTCCTTTTTCTCTCTTGCCCCTTCTCCTTTTCTCCTCCAAGATTTCTCCTTCTGTTTATTTTCCTTGGCAGCCCCACCCATCCTTCCTCATCCTCTTCCTCTCCCTCCCCAGAAGTCCCACATCTTTCTCCTGCCTAGATACTTGCCACTCACCTCTTTATTAAATCAATCACAGTTGATTCATCCTCATGCAGTGTAAACAAACGTTCCTCAACAGTTGGGCTATTCCTTGATGGTGGCACACACCTTTAATCCCAGCACTCAGGAGGCAGAGGCAGTCAGATCTCTGTGAGTTCAAGGTCAGCCTGGTCTACAGAGCGAGTTCCAGGACAGCCTCCAAAACAATACAGAGAAACCCAGTCTGGGAAAAAAAGTGTCTAAAAAATTAGACAGGCTGACTGCTAAATTCTGCTTTTGTATGAAAGGCCTGCTTGCTCGGATGGCTGAGTACCCGCTGAACATTACAAAATCAAGCCTTGCCCAAACCCAGACAGAATATAACCCCCAGATTATAACTTTGTCGGTTTTGTCTATATAGCCTTTTGGCTAACAATAGCCAGGGCCTGATCTAACCAGAACTCTCTCTGGTTTGGTCCTGACCAGTCTTTTTTTAAGAAAAAAAGTTTCTAATTTACTAAAACTAAGACTTGAGTCAGAATGGTGAATCTCTGAACAACCACAGATCCATAAAACCTTTTCTATAATTACTCTTGCACTTTCATGGTTCAAGTCTTGCTAAACAATGTTTCTCTCTTTCTAGTTCTTAGACTTAGGTTCCCTTGACTGACTGTTCTGGCTCGCACCTCTAGAAGGGCATTCAGCTACCGGGAAATCACATTCCTCATATCTTATTCCTGATTTTCTATAGGATATCCTGGATGTTTCTCCACCCACAGTAGGTTTTATTAGGTCAACAAACT